GATTAAGTATGGCATCAATCTCCAAGATGGACTACGACGAGCTGTTCCAGCTCGACCTCCCTGCCAAGAAGGGTTTCAGACAGCCGTACACGGCAGTAATACGACACTCCTTTATTGCCCCCCCCCCCCGTAAAGAGCCTGCGGGACCTTACAAGCATTGCGTGTTAATACATTTAAGACAATGTCGATTTCCTTACTTTACAGTTAGTCAAGAATTAGATATTAGCAGTAACCATCTCACTTGTAGCGCTAGCCTATATCAAAACTGTATTCTAGATTTGCATTTTTAAGTTGCACTTGACAGTGCCGCGCATTCCTTCTCTCTTATTACATATTTAAACTAAGATAAGAATTAGCTCGCGGATGCAGTCTTTGCGGATTCATAATATGTAGATGTCATAGCATTAACAAATAATAGAGCCTGATGTTCTAAGAGAGTGACTAACATTTAGGAGAGCGGGAATGAAAGAACGTTTATACAGCACTGAAGCGGCCTGAGCCAGAGCAGTGGGAATAGACTATATAGGGTATGCAAACACATCAGGTTTTACCATACCATTCCTAGCTTATTTGCCTTGGGCACCATTATATCCAGAGATTTTTCAAAGGTCCGAGGGAGCACCACTTACATACATGACCTATATCCTCACTGTAGACTCAACATGCCGCTTTACAATGCGCACTGCACATTGCGTAGCAAGCATGCTGACGAAATAGGCTCCGACTAGTGTTGAAAACGCCACTCCGGGATTTCCAAGTGGCCTTCAGATACCTTGATGGCCACGTCGGCCATGCACTGGGCCAGTTTCTCGCTGTGAAGGAAGTCAAAATGTCGAAGTCTCCATCACTCAGTTGTTGCAACCCATGCCGTAGTTCCGAGGGCGGCCACTGCAAGATATCAAATTGTCCAGCACTAGCAGCGCAGCGCTGTTCATGGCGAACAGACTACAGCCTTCATTTCGGTGCAACTGAAGCCACTTGATCATGTCGAACTGGCCCTAACGAGCTGCATGGTCCATGGCATTGGTTGTATAGCCTCCCTCCTGGTTGTTGTGAAGCCACTGCACGACGGTCATGTTGCCGAACGCGGCCGCATTGCCCATGGCGGCAGTAGTGTATCCGTCCTCTTGGTTCTCGTGTAGCCACTTCATCACGTGCAAATCGCGATGACCGCAGTGGTACACCCTTCGCTGAGGTGTTTGTCACTTGAGCCGCTTGTAAATGGGCAATATGATTGTTGGCAAACGATGATGTTCATGGCGAGGAGCATACGTCCGGAAGAGATCACAAGAGCTCTGGCATCGAAAGAGACCTCTTCGGAATCAACCCTTTGCTGCTTCGATAAAACTGGAACTTCAACCAACAACATAATGTAAGCGACAAAATTTGTTTTAGCGACGTGTTACTCCGTTGGCACACTGGATGATCGACTAATATGCAATGACGTTGAGTGAGGCTAAATCTAGTCATCTTCTCGTGTAAGCTCTGTTTCTGCAGCGATAGCTTCACGCTCTTCTTGATAAATTGCTGCGTCCATATCGCACAATGGTAGATCACCGATATGCTTCGTCATTGTAGATAAAACGTTAAAGGCTCGCTCAATGGAGTCGTCGGCTCGATACTCGGACTGCTGCATCTGAAAACTATGGCACATTTGCCGAGATAGCTCATACATCTCGGTGAGATCAAATAACTTTTTTGCGTGATTGATGAAGATACTTCTGCAGTCTCGAATCGAGACGTCGACTTGAAACTCACGCTGAGTGATTCGCTGAAAGTGCCTCGTCAAATATGTATCCGCCTTTCCGTTTGCCTTGATGAAAATGTTGTGCGTGGCGAGCGTTCGATAATCCCGCCAAATGTCCAGAAAGAGCTTGAAGTCGTCCATGTATACCGGGGGCAGCAAGACAGTTACAGGACCATATCGAATCTCAGTCTTGTGCCTGAGTACCTTGATGACCGTGAACTTGTTTTTTGTTGCAATGTTGATATCTTT